TCTGTCTTGATAATTTCCTCTTTCCTCAGCAAGGGGAAGTCTTTCAGGGATCTGAGTCTTAATAATGTGAAGGAGATTGTTGTAGGGTGGAAACAACCACTCGCTCAATGAATTTGTGATAGAGAAGGAGAGGAGAGCCAGGCCTAATCTGACATGCAGCCTAAATTTCAGGAGCACAGATTTCCAAAAGTTCAGAGCAAGGAGAGGTTGTATCTTATGAACTAAATTTCTAAGAAGTCAGCCTTGGAGGGATGGGACACTGTCAAGAATGAAATTCTAAAGGCACAAAGAAAAACAGTTCTGATGAGACAGAAGAACAGTTGGTAAAGGGACCGATGTGGATTCACGAGGGACACAGTAAACAATCTAGATGCCAAATAGACACATGCAGGAAAAATTTTTCTTGTTTTAAATTCATTAAAGCTCCCAGCTGGCTTACGTCCCACCAACTCCTGGAAGAGATCTGCTCATGGATGGTCATACATAGTCCAGTTTGGTAGAATAAGAAACTCACAATTTATTCTTTGGGCAGTGGGGAAGCACTGAAGGTTTCTGAGTACAGGAGCGACATAATCAGACCAGTATATTGAGATTACCTCAAGCAGTAGGACCCCTTTGAGAAGGAAAAAGACCGGGGAGAGGGCTGAGCTCCAGGTGGCTATTCTACTAGTGAAATGATGTATTAGTGGTGATTGCTTTTTGGATGTGGGTTGGACCAGATGAATGCTGAGATCTTTCCAACACTTTGGTTCCAAGTTAGAGGGGTGGGCATTGGCAATAGAAGATCGGAAAGATATCATATGACTAATATTGATAAACTTAACCCTTTCTAGCAATATAAAGATCTAAGACATCTCCAAAGGCCTAGCGATGGAAAATGCCATCCACATCCAGAGAAAGAATTATGGAATTTGAATGCAGATTGAAACATACTATTTGCTATTTTTTTTTCTCATCTGTTGAGTTTTGTTTCCTCTTCCTGGTGGTTCCTCCTATTGGTTCTAATTTTTACTTGCAACATCACTAATGTGAAAATATGTTTAATAGGAATGTATATATATAAGCCTATATCAGATTGCGAGCCATCTTGGGGAGGGAGGTGAGGAGAGTGGGAGAGAAAAATTTAAAACTCAAAAGCTTATGAAAGTGATGGTTGATAAATCAAAACAAATTAATTAAAAAGAGAAAAAATAATAAAGGAAAGATATCATAGAAATAGACTTGATTAGGTTTTACAACAGATTGTATTGGGGGAAGGAACTGAGGTATAGAACTAGAAATCAGATCTCTGAGGTTTCAAACCTGAGAGACTGGAAAGATGCTGATGATATCAGCAGACGTGGAGGTGCTGGAAAAGGGGCAGGTCTTAGGTGGGAGACGAATTCGTTTAGGACATGTTGAGTCTGGGACACCGACAGGACATTTGGACCTCGGGGGAGGGATTGGAGGTAGAGGTGTGCTAAATATGCCGACTCCGCCACTAGAAGGCTAGCTCCTTGTGGTGTTTGTTGTCCCAGATGTGTTGTAGCCCCAGAGCCTCGCTGACCACCTTGCATACGTGTATGGCCCTTAATAAATGTTTGCTAATTGATTTGTGTAAAGATGATCATTGAAGGCTTGAGCAAATAAAATGGTTGGCCCAGGGAGGGAGAGGTTAGGGAAAGAAGGCAGAGAATGGTCCAGCATGGGAATTCCCACTGTTAATTCCTTATAGCAATGAAATCACAGGTCTAGACCCAAAATAAACATTGTTCCCTTAAAGTTAAGGCAATTTGCATTAGGAAAAGACATGTCTTTTTCTCAGGGGAGGTAACACATCCATTCCATTAGCTTATTACTAGTAGTTTCCTACCAGAGAGCCAGGCCCTTGAAAGGAGATGTGTAGTAGTTAAATCTGAAAAGAGAGAGTTGGTATAGTTCCTGGGTATAGGGCATTTCTCCAGGACAGAGATCTTTAACCTTCTGTGTGTCATAGACCCCTTTGGCAGTCTGGTGAAGATGGTGGACCACTTTTCAGAACTGTATTTTGTCAACTACATACACAATTTACAGAAATGCTAAATTTTAATTAGTGAAAATAAAGATGTCACTTCTTCCCATCTGAATGCATAGAGACCCAGCAACTTATCCATAGAACTCTTGGTGATGAATGTAGCCCAGGTTAAGAATTCCTCACTCTAGGAGAGCCTACAATGCATCACACCAAAGGGGCTTTCTTACCTTGAGGGTCATTGATTCCTGATGTACAAAGTTTACAAAGTTAAGCAGTGTTTGTTTTCTCTGGGAATCTGGTGTGGAAACATAATTGCTAGTTGATTTCCTGTGTGGTCAAGAGTCTATGGCCCTTTGTGTTAGTTAGAAATGCTTAATTATATTAGGTTAAAATGCAGATTATAAGAATGCCTACTCCAATTGTAAGTGAAACGCACAGATCTGACACATGACCAGGTCCAGTGAAGGCATCCCAGCCTTTGCTTGTGCTTTGCCATTTTTTTCTCTTTGCATCAAATATCCTTCCATCTCTCTCTTTGCCTGCCAAATTGGCCATCTACCTTTTAAAGGTCTGCTACTTCCAGTGCTCCCAGTCAGGCTTTCCCTTTCCCTTCTTGAGAGATAGTGGTTAGAAGAATGGCTTCAGATCTAGGAAGCCCTAGGTTCAGATCTCGCCTCTCTCACATACTGGCCACGTGACTATGAGCAAATCACTAAAGCTCACCTTGCCAACTCTCTAAGACTGTGAGGTGCAGAAAAGGTGCTTGCCTACTCTGGGGTCCAGAGTTCCCTGAAATCAAAGATCCCGGCTATTTCTATCCCTATTCTAGCCTTGAGCCATGGGCAGCACTTTCCTGGTTCCTTTCTTTTGGACTTGAATGAATGAAAAGGTGTTTCCTAAGTGCAGAGTTTGGGCTGAACACTTGCCATGTGGTGTGGTTTTTGGTATTTGTGTATGTGGACAACTTTTGTACTAGACTCTGTGTCTATCCTTTGTTATCTAGACCATTGTTTTGCCCAGAGCAAGGACTTAATTCATGAATATTTGTTAAATCAAGAAGGAATAATTTCTGACATTTTTTTAAAAGAATTTTCAACTATTGCCATAGAAAGTACCCGTACCAATGCAGACCAGTCACTTCTGTGTAACTAAGACTGTTAAGTAAAGAGCCAGCTTGGGGCAGCTAGGTGGAGCCGTGGATAGAGCACTGGCCCTGGAGTCAAGAGAGCCTGAGTTCAACTCCAGCCTGAGACACTTAATAGCAGTGTGACCCTGGGCAAGTCACTTCCCTGCACCCCGCCCCCCCAAAAAAAGAGCCAGCTGCTTGGGACCAATGCTGTGACCTTGAGCAAGTCCCTCTGAGACAGAAGAAGACAGGCTGGGGATTGATCAGAACCAAAAAGATGAGGGGGAAAAAAAAGGATGGATGAAAGGATGAAGGAAGAAAGGAGCAGATGTTTAGAGGAAAGAGCGCTGGATGTAAACAGCACTTTATCCCTGATTTCTCTTTTGATCCCTATAACAAGCCTGTGAGGTGGAGGTGCCACTACTGTCTTTTTGTGTGTCAGGCACTGTGCTAGGCATCGGGATGCAAGATTTTAGCTTGAATCCCCATACTGCTACTTAATAATTGTGTGACCTTAGAAAAGTCCCTTAACTTCTAGACTGATTTCCAAGGTTTCTTTCAGCTCTATATCTATAATTCATAAATAATCCAGAGAGACAGATACAGTGATGGGAAGAAAGGGAGGGAGAGACAGAGAGGGAGATCCAGCTACTTTTCCCACTTGCCTCAAGCAATGGATCAAACCAAGTCTAGATCACAATTCAAAATGAATTTGGTCGTCACTCCTAAAGATGACTGACAAGCATTCGTTAAAACTGAAAACTCTGATCCTTTCATGAGACCTAGGATCTGATACTGCAATAATAATGATAAAACAGCTAGCATTTATGTAGCACTTTAAGGTTTACAGGATGCTTTAGGGATCTCACTTGGTCTTTAATTTATTTTTATTTCTCAGTTTAAATTTTTTTTCCTAAAATTCTATGAAGATAGCATGGTCTAGTGGTAAGAACACTGGTTTGGAGTCAGAGGACCTAGGCTCAGATTCTGCTTCTCATATTTGTTACCTGTGTGACTTTGGGGCATCAGCACTGCCGCCATCTATGTCAGATGTGGTGATTGGGCTGGGTCACTCCTAAGGTCCTTTCCAGCTCTAAGGAGATCTTCACAAGAACCATGTTAAGTTTAGGTGCTATTATTCCCATTTTACAGATGAGAAAACTGAAGCTGAGAGGTTAAGTGGTTTTCTCAGCATCACGAAGCTAGTAAAGTGTGTCTTAGGCCGGAGTCAGAGTGAGTTTTGATCGGTCTTCCTAACTCTCAATTGAACACACTATGCAATGTGCCCCAGTGATGAAAGAATGACACCCTAATATGTCAGCTTTATGATAGGCCTACAGATCATCTTTATTTAATTTAGGTTTTGAAATTTAGTTAGAGAAATAGTCATATTCATTTGAGTCCTTAGACCCTCTCCGCTGTGGCCCCAGAGCCTTTCTTATAGGTTCCAGGGTTCATAGACTCAGAGTTGGAAATTACGTTAGGAGGCACCTAGTTTAACTTCTTTCCTATTCTTCAATAGAGAAACCAATGACCAGAGCAGTTAAGTGAGTGACTTTCCCAAGGTCATGCTGCTAGTAAGTGACAGAGCTGGGATTTGTACTCAACTCCTCTGACTCCAAAGCCAACACTCTTGTCATTGACCCTTCCTTCTGCCTCATCCATCCTTTTAGCGGGTCATGATGAGGTAGGGAATGAGAGATCAATGTGGCTCGTTCATAAAAGTGGTATCTTGCTTCAGGGCCCTGGGCTTCTTGGTTATTGAATTGGCCACACGTGCTCACCATCGCGTATCTTGGAAGTGTTTGTACTTTTAAGGATCTCTGAGCTCTCTTCTAGCACAGACACTTCCAATTTTTTTTATTTCCTTTGTTCTTTCAGAGCTGGACAGCCCTGAAGAGTTGGGGAAGAAGCGCATCTGTAGGATTATCACGAAGGATTTCCCCCAGTATTTCGCAGTGGTCTCACGGATCAAGCAGGAGAGCAATCAGATTGGTCCAGAAGGGGGCATCTTGAGCAGCACCACCGTGCCCCTGGTCCAAGCATCCTTTCCTGAAGGTGCTTTGACCAAAAGGATCCGAGTGGGCCTCCAGGTAACCCTGGTGCACGTGCACCCATTTTGTGCCAAGTGATAGATTGTCCTGGAAGAAGCCATTGATCTTGCACCCCAGTACTGTCTGCTTGCTAACTCTTAAGGCCAGGTTGTGAGTTGTTGTAGGTATCTAACCTGAAGTACTCTATGGAAAATTGATCGATCATCAAGCGTTTATTATGTGTGCCAGGATTATGCTGGGTGCTTCAGAGACATTCCGTCAAGGGAGACAGCATCTATACTGTAGATACAAAGTAATTTCAGGGAGAGACACTAATAATGAACAATAGTAATAGTAAGTAGAATTGACAGAAAGCTTTATGGTTACAAAGCTCCGTGTATGTGCTCTCATTTGATTCTTACAACAACCTTGAGAGGCAGGTTGTCTTATTTTTTCAGATGAGGAAACAGGCAGGAAGGACAACTGACTTGCCCACAGTGAGATAGTAAATGTCTGAGGCAGAGATTTGAACTCAGGTCTTCTGATTCCAAATCAGATACTGTCTATCCACTATACTACCTAGGTGCCTACTCTAGCTCTTGGGGGATAGGAATAGGTCTGTACTTTGATTAATATAAGGGAGTCCCAGGTGAGGACACTTCCCCTGCCTGTGCAAGTCAGCATCTTGGACAGTTAGGAAGTTTGTTGCCTGGAGCCCTGAGAGGTTGCCCAGGTTTCCACAGTATGTGTCAGAGGTGGGATCAGAACCCAGCTCTTGCTGGCTCTGAGGCTAGCCTTCCACTCACTGTGGTGTGCTGTTGCCTCTCAGCAGTTGGGGAGACTACTAAAAAACCTCATGCAAGCATTAAACATGCAAGAGAGCTTGGTGGGTCCTTCTACATTAGCTCCTTGAGGGCAGGGATGGGTTCACTTTTGTCTCCATAGCCAGCACCCTGCATGGTGCTTGATATTGTTTTCAGGGCTCCTTTGTTGCTTGGTTTCAAGTGAAAGGTGACAAAGCCACAGCCCAAGTGTTGAGATGACAAAGTGTGGGACCTTTCAGAACAATGAAATATATTTTCTTTTATGTCCCAGTAGACAGTCGGGATACTGACCTTTGAAAGCTCAATTTTCTGACATTTCAGTCATGTCTGACTCTTTGTGACCCCATTTGGGGTTTTCTTGGCAAAGGTACTGAAGTGGTTTGCCATTTGGGTTTTGTTTAAATTAACTAGAAGTTCTGGTTTCTGTCCAAGCCAAGTTGAATCTTTTAGAAAACTAATTAGAAATATCAATCAATCCACAAAGATACAGTAAAAGACTACTATGTATCAGGCACTGTGATACTTGCCAAAAATACAAAGACACAAATGAAGTGGTCTACACCCTCAGGAAGAACATGTTACTGGGGGAAACAAGAGCTACACACTGAAGTAGATACAACATAGATACTCTCTAACCTAGAGTTAATTTTAGTAGGCTGTGGCAGAAGCACCCACCACTGGCCTGGTAAGACTTCATTGGCAAGAATGGCCTTTCTTGTATGTCTTCAGCTAAGGAAGCTAAAATTTCTTTCTAACCTAATAGGGAAACTAATTAACCAAACTATTTCAAGTATTTACCAATTTTTAAATAATTTTCATTATGAATTCCTTCTCATTTTGTGAATCAGATCAATTTTCATTTGTTACATGTGGGCCATATAATATACTTTGCTTCTGGCAACAAATAATTTGGGGGATTTTCAGTAACAAGAGATTTGAAGAAAACCACTTAAGTTTACACTTTCATTGATAAGAAGCTTCATTATGCTGCCCTAGAATCGACTATTTAGAATGATTTTGCCAAAGTAGGAAGAGAAGATGGATGGAGAAAGATAGATTGGGTAGACCAGAATTGTATTTCACCCCGTGAGAATCTGAGTGGCTTTGAGTTACTTTCCCTCTGAATGTCTTAATTTTTCCACTTGTAAAACTTGTCCTTGTGATACCTCTGAGACGTTCTGCATATTTAAAAGGCCTAAAAGTCACAAAACTGTTCATTGTAAGGTGTTTTACGAAGCCTCAGTATTATGTTTACCCTTCACACTGCCGAAATCATGGAACAAACCATTTCTGGCCCCATTCTCAAATCATCTACTTTTCTGATTGACAAACTGGCTTAGGTTAATTAGTAAATAGATCGGTTGTCTCTGGGTGTTCAACCTAATTTTCCCTGGCCTGTTACCAAAAGAAATGCAATATGGCATAATGGATAGGGAGTCAAGAAGACTTGGGTTGCTTTTAATCACATACTGGCTGTGTGAGCCTGGGCAAGTCACTTAACCTCTCATTGCCTTAGGCAACTCTAAGACTTTAAATTGCAGAACAGGCTACATTAGCACAGAAATCACAGGTCTTGTTTCTGTTCTCTTTCCCTGCCAAAAAAAGCAATTTAAAAGCAATCCTTCCTCCTTCCCTTTAAGGAAAGTTGGGGAGGATACAAACATTGTGATGAACAGTTTCCTCATTTGTATAATATCCTTTCTCTCTCTCTCCAGGCCCAGCCTGTTCCAGAAGAAATTGTGAAAAAAATCCTTGGGAATAAAGCAACTTTTAGTCCAATTGTCACCGTGGAGCCAAGAAGAAGGAAATTCCATAAACCAATAACGATGACCATTCCTGTGCCTCCCCCCTCGGGAGAAGGTGTAGCCAATGGCTACAAAGGAGATGCCACACCCAACCTTCGCCTTCTCTGTAGCATTACAGGTCCGATTCTATCAATACAGTACTCGATCTTCTGTGCACATTTACAGGGATGGTTAATGTTGTTGCAGGGCACTAGTGAGTCCCCATGTATTGTTGCAGAGTCCAAAGGCCTGGTCTCTGGTTTGCTCATGCCTCCATGAAATCACTCACATCTGTACTTTCTACTCCCCCAGTTTTCATATTCCATCCCCCTCTCAGCCATCCATCCTCACATAGACCATTATAATGGCCTCCTAACTGGTCTAACTCCTTGCTTGTGATCTCTTATCTCTTCCCTTCCTGTTGTCCTTCCAAAATGGCAAGTCTCGAAGTTCAGTGAGAGCAATGACATTTGTGCTCAGGCAATGGGCAGCAGTAGGATTTTCATGTAGCTACCATCTTTGTAAAGTAAAAGGTCTAGTGGGGAAAGCATTTTGTTGTGGACATCATATATGATCAATACAGGGCTTCACTGTTTACCCTGATCAGGGTGTAACTACCCATTAACAACCACAACAAAAATAATAATAGCTAGCATATAGATAGCATTTTAAGATCTGCAAGGCACTTTACAAATACTACCTTATTTTATGCTCACAACAACCCTGGGAAATGGGTGCTATTATTATCCCCATTTTACAGATTAGGAAATTGAGGCAGGCAGAGGTTAGGTGAATTATCATGCAGTTAGTTAAGTGTCTGAGGCTGATTTGAACTCAGGTCTTCCTGACCTCAGATTCAGTACTCTATTCACTGTACCACTTAGCTGCCTCAGTGCTCAAATAATTTGTAAGAGAGATTACTGTTTTTCTCTAGCCCTGGTTGTAAAGCCTCTCTCAGGCTTTACTGTAATGAGGAAGAGATTACAATAGGCTGGTTATAGTGTGGCTACCTGCACTGAAATTGGGGGGTGGGAGGGGTGGGGCAGCTTCCTCTGGCAGTTTCAGTGTCTTCAAATAACTTTGACCTCATGGGGTGAGCGGAGGAAGACAGAAAGCAAGGATTAATGAAAACTGTAAGTTAATGAACTTGGAATGCTTACACACACTATCCCCTGTTACAAAGCTAAGGTCTGTGCCATTCATTCTTTCAGGGGGAACGTCGCCTGCACAGTGGGAAGACATCACAGGAACCACGCCATTGACATTCATAAAGGACTCTGTCTCTTTTACGACCAATGTTTCAGCCAGGTATAAAAATACAGAGTGCCTGAAAGCACTGAGATTGGTCCCCAGGCAGTGGACAGTATTACAGTCCTTCTATGGCTGCCATTTTTGTAAAAGTAAAGGGTCTACAGGGGAGAGTGCTGTGCTTGTTTGGTCATGGTATGTGATCAGTGTAAGGTGGTTTTAAGTTTTAAGAGGTGGGGCCTAATTCCAGAATTCTGAATTTTCTTGATAGGAGCCAGCATTAGCACATGTCCTGGAAATCCAAAAAAAACCCACCTTACTCATCCCAAAAAGATGATTTTGGAAACGTAGAAACTTTAGAAATTTTAGAATAGAATTATTATAGTTCCCTGTAATAGGAAAGAAAAGAGAGAAGAAGGAACCCCTAGCTTTTCCTTAATGCTATTATTGGGAAGGTTTCATGTTTCATTAAACATATTTGCCCAAGGTGCACAATTATTTTCTAGAATTCTCTGTTCTATTTTCCAAATTTTAAAAGCATGGAGATTTTTTAAAGATCAGATTCTCTATTTACTAACTCCATTTCTGTGGCTCTGCTTGACTCACTCAGGTTTTGGCTTGCGGATTGCCATCAAGTTTTGGAAACCGTCGGGTTAGCTACTCAGCTTTACAGGGAATTAATCTGCGTCCCCTACATGGCCAAGTTTGTGGTTTTTGCCAAAATGAACGATCCTTTGGAATCTTCCTTACGTTGCTTCTGCATGACAGACGATAAAGTGGACAAAACTTTGGAGCAGCAAGAAAATTTTGAGGAAGTGGCAAGAAGCAAAGATATTGAGGTGGGTCCCATTCACCCAACAGGGAATCTGTTTATACAAAGACTTTAAACTTTGGAGGAGTTGGCACTCTTTTAAAATATAAATGTGAATAATTGGAATCATGGCATCAGAGCCTCGTAGATAGAGCTGGAAGGATCTCTCTCATTTTACACGTGATGAAACTGAAACCTTAGTCTATTCCACTCTTTTTACAGTGAAGGAACTGAGGCTCAGGGAAGCCACGTTACTTGCCCAAGGTCACTGGGATAGTGTCAGAGGTCATCCTTTGATTCCAAATTCAATGTTTTTCCCACTGGACCATACTTCCTATTGTTTTTAATTGTAATAACATGTAAAGCCCTTTGCAGATCTTAAGGGGTTATAAATGTTTCCTATTATTATTTTTGCTAAATTATTCCTATGGTTTTTAAAAAAAATGCTTTCTGTGTATGTTGGCATATTTGTGCTTAGCAGAGTGTCTGGCATATAGTAGGATATAATAAATGTTTATTGAATGACTGACCATCAGGGGTTGTTAATTCAGAATTATAGAAATATAGAATCACAGAGTTGTAAGGGTCATCAGAGGTCACCTAGGAACCCTTATACAAAACGTGACAAGTTGTTGTCCTAGCCTTAACTTGAAAGCTGCTGGTAATAGGGAACATAAGTCACCTTATTGTACATAGCTGATTTTTTTTTTAAAGTCTGCCTCCCAAGATCTCAGCCATGATACTAATGAAGGCCAAAGTCATCATGCCTTCCACCTTTGTGTGGGATGGCTTGCTTTGCTCTGTTCGGGGGTCATAAGCCATATTTGTAACCACTGTCTTCTTCTTCGCCTTAGAAATGCGTGCTTTTTGTGAAAGTAGGGGCACAGAGGTTACCAGGGGATGGTTGCTAAGTGAACCATGATCCCTCCTAGAAAAGCCTTTCAGAGCAGACGTCCCATGGCAGTTTTTGCTGGAATGGCTGGGTATTTTTCATGCTTGTTTCTCATGCCTGAGAATATAGGTAAACCTATTCTGAATGGATAAAAGATAGTTTCCTTTCTCTGGTCAGTCTGTCACGTCATCTTTCTATATGGAGAATGCCGTATTATGATTAGTGGGATGTGTTTTAATTAAACCTAGCATAGCAAAATGAACTGTAAAGTCAGCAGATCTGGGTTTTCATCCTAGAATGGGCATTCACTAGCTGGGTGGCCTTGAGCAAATCCTTTAATGTCTTTGAGTCCCTATTTCCCTATCTGTAAAATGGGGGTTAAAAAGTACTGAAAGTACTTATTTCTCAGGGTTGTCACAAGGAAATCATTGTGGTGTAATGGAAGGAATGGTAGGCAAGTCACTTAACCCCTTGGTGCTTTGGTTTCACCATCTACCACATAAAGGGATTGAACTCAACTGACCTTTAAAATCCCTTTGCACTCTAATTGTGGTCCAGTGGTTAAACTGAAATGACTTGGGTTTTAATCCTGACTTTGACATTTACTGTGTAATCTTGGGGAGGTCATTTTTTTTTCTCTAAGCCTTAGTTTCCCTATTTGTGATTCAGTTTGATTTTTTTAAAAATTGCATGGTTGCTATGTGCAAAGGTCCTGTGATTGGCATGAGGGATATAAACTGAAAGAATGAAGATTAACTTTAGTTTTGTTTTAATCTAGGTCCTGGAAGGAAAGCCTATTTATGTCGATTGTTATGGGAATCTGGCCCCCCTCACCAAAGGAGGACACCAGTTAGTCTTTAACTTCTATGCTTTCAAAGAGAACAGGCTGCCATTTTCAGTCAAGGTGAGCTAACCCCAGTAGAGGTACTCTGATTGAAAAATATTTCCATTTTTGAGGAGGGAGAGATGTACTATTGTTTCCTTATGATGAGTCTCAGCTACAAAAATGGTATCCCAGTACTGCACTTTGCCCTTTTCCCCATGGAGGCTGTTTCAGTGAGTGTCCAAGCTCAAAATTTTCAGTGGCCACTGCCACCTTTTCTGTAAGATCTAAATTGCTAATGTGCAGACCTACATCTCTTAAGTTCAGTTGTTAGGGAAAAGAATTCCGTGTACCTTATCTTAAAGAAAATATGTAAACCACATGGTATAGAGTTTATATCTTAGCTCAAGATAACCAATTTGGTTTCTAGACAGGTATTCAGAGATTCTGAATCTTATGGAGTCTACAAGGCCCTCTTGGTTGACATTTCATTGTTACTCCATTCTCCTTTTGTCCCACTTTTTTAAAAAGGGGATGTTTCCAGAGATCCTCGACAACCCAACATGCTTAACTGCCACATGGACGTCACCCCACTAATGATCTACCTATGCACATTCTTCTAGATCAGAGACACGAGCCAAGAACCGTGTGGTCGATTGTCGTTTCTGAAAGAACCAAAGACTACGAAAGGATTGCCCCAAGCAGCTGTTTGCAACTTAAATATTACCCTTCCAGCACATAAAAAGGTATCTCTTCCTGCTTTGCTTCATGTGACATTCCCCCCCCCACCCCCATCCTGCCATTACCCTCTCCCCCGCTAGTCTTGAGGAAGTAGGACCTTGAAATGTTAACCGTGGAATGACTGCTTTGGAACATAATTCAAGCGACCCAAACTCCAGTTTTATTCGTCTTTGTGTGGAGAAAGGCTTTAATTCTTGTGACTGTGGTGTTGGAGCCCTGTGATTGTTCTGACCTGGTCTTCTGTTTGCTGCTCATGCTTCTGTTTATGCTTTCAGTTGTCACAAGTTCATTTGCTGTGGGTGTGCAGTTTCTAGTTTCTCGGTGTTGGCTTTTTTGGATTTGCTTTGCTTTATAAACCAGCTTGCCTTTTGTGCTCCCTACTCAGTCCTTTTCATATCCTGATATTCTTTTCCCTGCTGCCCATTATAATATTCCTTGTCTCTGCAATGCATCTTGGGACCAAAAGGAAACAGAGTCAGATCCAGATGATGAGGTAATATGACACTTCTGTTTTTATTTTATCAGAAGTAGAATAGAATTGAAACCTATTTAAGAAAAGCACCAGAAAGCTGAGGGGTGGGAGTTTGGTAAAGCTGGGGTCTAGGTTTGTGCCTTTTTGGCCTGACTTTTAAGTTTAGAGATAGCATATTTTGAGTATATTTCTATAAAGAATTGTCCCCTTTTGCAAAAAGGCATTTTTTATGACTCTCTCAGAGTTTTTATTAAAAGGCCGCTCTAGCCAATTTACACTGACAATATTCAAAAGGAAAAGGAGCTCAGGTAATTTGAAAACGTGAAATTTCCACTGGGACTTCTTCCTGTATGCTGCATCAGCTAGATTTCTACCACATTAGCCCAGTACTTAGTATAGCATAAATATATGAGAATTCATTTTGGTGTCAGCTTGGGGGGCTGAGTCACCAGCCACAAAATCCAGACTCATACCAGAGCCATTAGTGTTTATTCACTGGCTGTTGAGAAAAAGTATTTTCTATCCATCTAAGAGGCAGTTGTAGTTTGGAAGGAGTTTGGAAGGCAGTTAATGGAAGGCACACTGGACTAGGTGACAGAAAGTCTGTGGTCAGCTGCTGTCTTATGTGACTTTAGGAAAATCACTTCCCCTCTCTGGGCTTCAGTTTCCTTATCTGTAAAATGAAGGGTTTGGACTAGATGACCCCTAAGATCCCTTCCAACCTATTAATGTACAAAATTACTTTATACTGGATATATCTAAATAAGTATTTTATAGATAGATTGGATATATAGAGAGATTGATATATTGATACACATATATACACATATAAATATGTCTATATATACGTACATATATGCACATATGTATATCTCAGAGGCATTGTAGAAGAAGAGATAAAGAGTCTGAATCAGATGTAGCAAGACCTGGGTTTAAGTCCCACTTCTGAAACATGCAGGCTAGTGTGCCCCAGGCCAGATCACTTTACCTTGAGAGAATTTCCTGATGGAATTGACTGTTCCCAGGTAATCGTAGGTCTAGATAAAAATGATCCACCTACCTATGTGTGTGTATGTGTGTATGTATGTAGATAGACAGATACATACACACCCATCCAGCCAAGGGTTAGGTTTTGAATTCATTCTTCCCTAAGAGTCTTGGTAGCTCTCCCTAACTTATGCTACAGCTCAGTGTGATAAATACCCGCAAACTTTTATTGAGCTCCTACTGTCTGCTGATTACTGTGCTGGATGTGGGAAGAGATAACAGTGTCAACCTTGCCAGTGGAATTATTTTTTTTTAAAACCCAAAAACTTAACCAGAATCATAAATGACAATAGCCAATGGTTAGAGACACAACTGATGTTTTTTTCCTAATTCAGATATCAGGATCCTTTTAAATTTGCCTCTCCTCATTTTCTGCCAAGAACAAACTCCTTCCGTGCCTTTATTGATTTGTCCGTTATTGTACTCTTTTAGAGTGAGTTTACATTGTGGCATATGCGCTTTTAGGATACACTGAGTTTGAAAAAGATCCTCCTTAGCCTAAGATGGAGTCTGTCATGTTTTCTGTCTCTTTGTAATTCCTCGTAGTGTCCTGTGTTAGTGCTGACTAGCTGGGCTTGCTGGGAGGAAGGAGGAGGAGTCTTTGGGGGGGAGTTCTGTAGGTTTACTAAAATGTTTAATTACAAAGAGAGCAAAAATAGAGATAAACGTTATGTTAAGTGACATCATCGTAAGCACATTTCAATGCTTTGCAAATGTCACAAAGAAACTCAGTGGGAAAGGAAAAATCGACTTTTTACTTTTTGCTTTTTTTGCAGACGGAGAAAGCAGACCGTCGCCAGAGCTTTGCATCTTTGGCCCTACGTAAGCGCTATAGCTACTTGACTGAGCCTGGAATGAGTGAGTTTCCTAACATATTTACTAATAATATATATGAATTTTTATAAGAAGAGACATTTTTTCTATATTCGTTGAATTCTTGGTGTCATTTGGAAACACAAAATGAATGAGAAAATTTCTGAAGGAAAAGTCCTTTGATAAATTTTAAGCTCTTTGCTGTAAAAGTTTGGGTTGGGATAGGGGTAGGGAGGGTGGGGAGAAAGCAGCTAGTTCATCACTCCAAAGCCAGGTTTTAAAAAGGATCATTATGAACTGTTCTTCCATCAAAAAGATCCATTCTTCTGTCTTTGTCAAATTGTCACGTTCTCATCCCATTTCATTCCTAGGATCGTAGGTCAAGAGCTAGAAAAAACCTCAGATACCCTTAAAAGTGCCAATCAGTGATGAGCCATGATCAGTTTCATTTGTTCTCAGTCACTTAACTTGAAATGCATTCACAATAGTAGTGAGTAGCTGGTTGTCTTTCTTATCCTTTATTCCTACTTAGATCTTAATAGCCCATTTATGATTGATCATCTTTTCTGCACTCTTCTACCCCTTGATTTTCCCATTTCCTCTGCTTGTAATAACATCAGTTCCCTAGCTTTTCCATGTTGAATCTGCTAAGTTATGTTTCTTCCCCAAGAGTTAGCTTTCCATTCTTTTGTTATCCAACCTTCCAATGCATTTTCAAGGTGTAGGTTTCCTTCCATACCAGTAATATCTTCAATTCATTTGGGCATCTGTCATCTTTGTAAAGTAATCTCTATTCTTTTGCCGGCCCTATGGTCCTTTGACACCTTCCACTACCATCTCTAGATTCACGTAGAGGTTGCCCAACCAGCCAGTAAACCCATTAGTGCGTGTAGAATTCAACTGTAATTGGATGATTGGGCTGATGATCCCCTTTCCTTCACTTCTTCCAGAAGGGGCTCACTTGATTAGATCAATCATTCTATCAAATATTTATTGAATACCCCCTCACAAACACATAGACTAGTAGAACTGGAAAGAAGCCCCGAAGATTGTGTGGCTCCACATTGTACTGAGAAGAAAGTTGAAACCAGTGAAGTCGACGAACTGTCCAAATTGCCTCTGCTAATGCTAATAATTGGGCTGAGTCTGGACTAAAAATCCCTATCTTCAGGCTCTCGGTTCAGTATTCTTTACACTACACTAATGCCTGCCCTTTAGAGAACAGAAGGAAACATAAAATAAGGTCTCTGCCCTCAAGGAACCTGCAAACTGGCTAGGGAGATAAACTATGTGCACACACACAAAAAAAATTAATTAGAAGTATAAAGCCATCAAATTCAACAAATATCAAGTTCTGTGTGCAGAATTCTGTGCTAGAGGTGGGGGGCTGGGTAATTGTGGGGGGTCGATACAAAGCTGAAATAAAAGAACCCCTGATGTCATGGAGTTTACCATGTAATATTAGCTGCTGGCACTATGGCATGCATACATTATGGATAGAGAACAGGCCTCAGAGTTGGGAGGAGACCCTTGCTACGTTCCGGTTGTGGACCCTGGGCAAGACACTGAAACCTCTCCGTGCTCCAAAAGACTCTCCAAGAATACAAATTACATGGCAGGAAGCCATCTGTGTTGGTGGAAAGAGTCCTCAGGATTCCTTTTGCAAGTGAAATCACAGGTCTAGACCAAGCATGGGACAGAAATAGCCTTCTTAGATAAAAGTGAGCATTATACTGATTCTAGTATGAATTGCAGGATCTCCAGCTCTGAGATTCAAACTTGAGTCCAGGGAAGGCAGAAAAGTAATGGGGAAAGATATCATCAAAATTTTTTATTCTGAAACCTGAGAACTAGAACCTAAAACCGAGAAGGCGACCTGAGATGCTGATGGGCATCTCAGTTCAGGTGTTCCTCTCATGTTGTCCTGGGGGCTTGGTCTCCACAGCCTCCACAGTTGGGGAAAAGAGAGAAGGACTAGAGTTTGTTGGCCTTGTTTTCTCAAAAAAGCTTACCCCACTTTCCCATTTCCCAACAAGCTCTCGAATACTCTGAGCCCTGGAATTAATCCAACTCTTGTTCAGATGCCATCAGGAATGTTCAATGCAACTCCAATAATTTTATGAAATTCTGCCTTCTTTTTAATCTAGCTCCTAGGTCATTTAGTGATAGCCCTGCCTAGGTACCTAGTTGACATCCCCCAGGCAACATCTTCAGGCTTTTTAGCTCTTTCTTGGGTCACCATAGAGTGGGATCCCCGAGGGCTGGGAGTCCCAGTTGTGCATGGCCTAAGGCTGGTACAGATCAGTAATGCAAAGTTTCAAATAATCTCTGGGTGGCATTGGCCACTATTTTTCCCACCTGCTAGGAAGTGCTACTCATGGTGTTTAGCTTTGGCTAAAATATTTATAACCTATCCCTCTCAACGCAGGAAAGAGAGGCAGCTAGTTTTTTGTGTGTTGAGAATGATTAAGGACCAGCTCTCAGGGATGGAGGAAGGGCGGGTGAAGATAGAGCGAAAGAAATAGAAAGTGTATCTTTCTGTATGAAATCGTAGCCATAGAGTTTAAGAGTTTGACATTAAAGGTTTCCTAATTCTAGCTCTCAGGAAACTAAAACACAGAAAGGTGAATTCACTTGCCCAGGGTCACACCAGGAAGTAAGAGGCAGAGTGAGACTTGTATCCCCAAGTCCATTAAGCCTCCTACTGCTATAGCAAACTGGCTTTAGGGCCAGAGCTTCCTTTTCTTCCATGGACACATAGAATTGAAGACTGTTTTACCAGCCATAGAGTCTTAGGCTATTAGATTTGGAAGAGACCTTGAACATATAATGTCAGAGCTAGAAATGGCATTAGAACATAGAATGTTTGAGATGGAAAGAACCTTCAAATGTGTATTGACAGATTTGGAAGGGACCTCAGAACACAGACTGCAAGGGCTAAAAGGGATCTTAGAGCATAGAATGTCAGGGCAGGGAGGGTCATGAAAACATGGAATTCAGAGCTAGAAAGAACATTAGACTATAGAATGACAGAATCAGAAGGGACCTGCTGGGGCTGGAAGGGATTCTAGAACACAGAATATTAGAGTAAGAGGGTACCTTCAAGATCAGCTTGTCCATCCATTTCATTATACAAATAATTTTTGAAAACCACATCCCTAGAAAGAAGGAGTGCCTTGCCCAGGGTGTCCCAGCTGATTGAGACCCAAGAGCTTGGACCCAAAAGCAGGTTTTCTCACTCCCAGGACTGTACTCTAACCATTATATTGCACAACCAGTATGCTGTTTCCTCTGGAGGAAAGCAGGAAACAAGAAATGGTTTGCAGGACTTCATCTTTCAAAGCAAAAATGTTTGTAATCAAAAATACATTGTCAGTCTCTAGTATTCACATAAACAGGACTAATTTCCAAGCAGTCGTGTCTAACAAACCCGTGTTCACAGAACTAGGATCACACCCAAATGATTCCTTCATCTTTATACCCAAAGAATTTCAAAACCCACCATCTTTGTATTTATGTTGAATGATGTATTTACCAATAGCTCATCGTATTCCCCAGAGAGTTGGAAGGTGCAGCTGTAGGAGTATCACATGGGTATTAGGGGTCCCCATTCTAAGGTTGTCTTCCCTAGTTCTTCCAGCTTTCTTAAGAGTAAGATGAAAGCACCAGAAAGGATGTTTTCTGAATATTTGAATTTAAATGTACACTAGGAATGAACATCTTCACCCTTGTGGGAGTAGCTGCTAATCCAAGAAGTGGATTGTAGCATTGATTGACACGGGCACACCATGAAGAGGAACATAAAGAGACGAGGAGTCTTCTGTTTGCCCTTCGAATTTCAATATTATTCTGAGCTGGTGTTTTTTGGAAGTGAGACTTTGATGAACTTTGAACTAGAACATTAACTCCTTGGCAGCTGACTCAAGTCTTTGTTGGGAGCGTGGTCTGATGTCCCAAGCTATAGACATAGAAAGGCTGGGGGCTTGGTCAACCTTGACCTTCATTGAGCTCACCAACTTCACTGCTAGATTTTGGCCCCTTTACCAGAAGACTAGTGATGTGGCCTCGCTCTCCAAGGGGGTAGCTCTTCAGACATCATGGCCTGTGGGCTTTGGACGGTCTGGGTCTGAAAATATTCTAGAGTTATTTACTGCTTTTGCAACTGGTAGATCTGGTGGGGGTGGAGGGTGGAAAGTGGATAAGTACATACTCTGTACTCACTCCAGGTGATTAAAATGTTGAAAACACACAGTGAGCCTTTGTTGCTTTTGTATTTCCCTTATGATACCTTTTGAGAATTTAACATGAAGGATTACCAAAGTAATGATAACAACGATGACAACAGCAACAATAATAATGTTAAGACAACTCTCTTAGATGAACTAGGGGGTGGTGCTGACTTTAGAAATGGGTATACTTATTGGAAGACATTTCTTAGTCTAAGTATTAGGTGCTGGATTTTCTAGAAATCTCAAAAGGTACCAAGACACCACTTTTCATGGAAAAAGTGTACTCTTCTTTTAAAATGCCTCTAGTGGAAAATATTTTGAGTGTATATATGATGCATATAATATGGCATATCAACTGTTTTATATCCTTTGCTTGTTTTTGACATGATATACTGTGCATGATATCGATGTTTTTGGTTGCTTTGCTTGCTTACGTTGATCATGAATCATACTTTTTTTCCATTTGTCATGTGTGACACCTGCTATTTATGCCATTTCATGTTATTTTTTAAAAATTTATTTATTTTAACCAAATAAAAGGAATATACTGCATGGAAAAAAACAAATGCAAAAAATTCCTCCTTTTCTTTTCTTTTTTTTTTACTTTTAAATATTGACTTAGAAACTTTCTTGCTCTTATTGGCTTTATGAGTGTGAAGCATAACTGAATTGTGCATGGGAGAGAAGGATTTGAATTTCAGTGGCTTCACAGTTTGCACATCAGTTGCCTGTCACTTAAGATATCTTGGGTTCTGCATGAAGTAGGCTTTGAGTGGCTTTTGACAAAGTTTTCTAGATACTTCTGTCAACCTACACGAGTTTATATTGTTTTAAATAGGTGCAATCTATGCCGCTAAAAGGTGCCAAAGGGAGGACATTCTAAATTACTAAAATGATAATCGTTTGGTTGTACAAACATACAGGCAAAATGGGACCGCTAGTGTGATTTCAAAACTAGCATATGAGAAAGTCAATAGGAAGTAAGAGAAGAATTTTTGGTTCTGATTATTTTTCTCATCCATGGATCCTTTCGTTGGGTTTTCTTTTTTCATTGTTGGCACATTTGGTTGCTGCGTGCTTTCTGTCTTTGATTTCTCATCGCTCCTTATTTTTCTGTATTTCTGTATCTTTTACTTTGAATCAGTTATGAATCTGTGGAGCATTTTTTTCCCTTGGTTTTTTTTCAATCATTCTTTTTGCCTCTCCCATTCTGAATCATACAAACAATTGTACTTGCTTTTGTAATATTTACAAAATTTACTGACCAATTTTCTTCTCTGGTCTCTCTGTTTTTCAACCATTTTTGTTGATTTTTATGTTTGATTTTGATTTTAAAATTTAAGAAACAGTTGAACGGAGTGCAGGAGTCACAAGATCCCTACCCGTCACTGGCTCCTCATACAAGCCATTCTTTCCTACGAGACCCTATCAGTCCTGGACAACAGCTCCAATGACAGTGCCTGGACAAACCAAGTCAGGCTTGACTTCTTTGTCCAGTTCTTCTTCTAACACTCCATCGGCTTCTCCATTAAAGTCAATATGGTCTGTTTCTTCTCCGTCTCCAATCAAATCCACCTTAGGCGCTTCAACAACATCTTCAGTTAAATCCATTAGTGATGTGGCCTCGCCAATCCGATCCTTCCGGACAGTCTCTTCGCCAATAAAAACAGTTGTTTCACAGCCTCCCTACAATATCCAAGTCTCTCCTGGGTCACTCGTTAGAGCTCCCACAATAACTGAGGCTACTGTCTCTCCTTTAAAAGGGCTGGCAGCCGGTTCAACCTTTTCCTCTCGGACCTCTCCGGTGACCACAGCCGGCTCCCTTTTGGAGAGGTCGTCAATTACCATGACACCCCCAGCATCCCCTAAGTCCAACATTAATATGTATTCTTCAACCTTGCCCTTTAAATCTATCATCACTTCTGCACCACCACTGGTATCTTCCCCTTTAAAGTCCGTGGTGTCTCCCGCTAAATCGGCAGTCGATGCTGTTTCCTCCACCAAAGTGATGGTGGCATCCTCTCTCTCTTCTCCTGTGAAACATATGACTGGGCATGCAGAGGTAGCATTAGTTAATGGGTCTATTTCACCTCTGAAGTATCCATCCTCTTCAGCTTTAATTAATGGAGCCAAAGCCTCAGCCACAGCCACGCTACAAGAAAAAATCTCTGCGGCCACAAACTCCATTAGCTGTGGTGTTAGTGCAGCCACTGATACGGTTGAGAAGGTGTTTTCTACCACAACCGCCATGCCCTTCTCCCCACTCAGGTCATTTGTGTCTTCAGCGCCATCTGCTTTTCAGTCTATAAGAAGTCCTTCCGTGAGTGCACTGTATACATCCCTGGGGTCATCGATATCAGCAACTACCTCATCAGTAACTTCATCAACAATCACCGTACCCGTATACTCTGTAGTCAATGTTTTGTCAGAACCAGCACTAAAGAAGCTTCCAGACTCCACCTCGATTACAAAATCCGCAGCTGCCCTCCTATCACCCATTAAAACATTGACTCCAGAGACACGTCCTCAGTCCCACTTCCACCAGGCATCATCCCCGATTAAGTCATCCTTGTTCCTCGCGCCCTCTGCTCTTAAACTGTCCACGCCATCTTCTTTATCTTCAAGTCAGGAGATCCTAAAAGATGTAGCTGAGATGAAGGAGGATCTAATAAGAATGACCGCTATCCTGCAGACAGATGTGGCCGAGGAAAAACCTTTCCAACCGGAACCAACCAGAGAGGGGAGAATCGATGATGAAGAACCCTTTAAGATTGTTGAGAAAGTCAAGGAAGACCTAGTCAAAGTTAGTGAGATACTTAAGAAGGATGTGTGTGTAGAAAGCAAAGGTTCATCCATAGCTTCCAAAAATGACAAAGGACAATCTCCTGAAGATGACTGGACGGAGTTTAGTTCAGAAGAAATAAAGGAAGCCAGACAGCAAGCTGTTCTGTGCCCTCTTGCATCCACATCAGAAAAGGTCCAGATGAAAGCAAAAACTATGTCTGAAAAGGATTACAACTTGACCAAAGTAATTGATTACTTAACAAATGATATTGGGAGTAGCTCATTAACAAATTTGAAGTACAAGCTTGAGGATGCAAAGAAAGATGGTGAAGAGAGGCAGAAAAGAATTTTAAAGCCAGCAATAGCTTTGCAGGAGCACAAACTTAAGATGCCTCCCGCCTCCATGAGGCCTTCCACCTCAGAAAAAGAGTTGTGCAAAATTGCAGATTCCTTCTACGGAACTGACACTATTTTGGAATCTCCCGATGACTTTTCTCAGCACGACCAAGATAAAAGCCCCTTATCAGATAGCGGCTTTGAAACGAGAAGCGAGAAGACACCTTCTGCCCCACAGAGTGCAGAAAGCACGGGTCCCAAGCCACTTTTTCATGAAGTTCCCATCCCTCCGGTCATTACAGAAACAAGAACAGAAGTGGTTCACGTGATCCGTAGCTATGAGCCTTCTTCGGGAGAGATCACCGATGCCCAAGAACGGCCCCTGTCGCCCAAACCCTCGCCACCCTTTATGGAGCTGGAGCCAAAGCCCACCACTTCTAGTATTAAAGAGAAAGTCAAAGTATTTCAGATGAAAGCCAATGGAGAAGAGGAAGACCGTAACCGGGCAACGGGCAAAGGCGTCCGCGTCAAAGAAGAAACTCACATAACCACTACCACGCGGATGGTGTACCATTCACCTCCGGGTAGCGAAGGCAACTCAGAAAGAATTGAAGAAACCATGTCTGTCCATGACATCATGAAAGCCTTTCAGTCTGGGCGGGACCCGTCCAAAGAACTGGCAGGTCTGTTTGAGCATAAGTCTGCCGTGTCACCAGATGTGCACAAGTCTGCTGCTGAGAGCCCACCCCAGCATGCAGAGAGGGACAGCCCAATGAAACCCAAGCTGGAGCGTATAATAGAAGTCCACATCGAAAAAGGTAACCAAGCCGAACCCACCGAAGTCATTATTAGAGAGACCAAAAAGCATCCAGAAAAGGAAATGTTTGTGTATCAGAAAGACTTATCTCGGGGTGATATTAGCCTAAGAGATTTTCTGCCTGAGAAACACGAGGCTTCTCCTGGTTCGGAGGAACGGGGTCCCCTGGAGGAAGAAGAGTTAGCTGCAGAGGATTCCCTGCCTTCGTACCTGGAGTCTTCGAGAGTGAGCACTCCCGTGTCCCAGGAAGAAGACAGCCGCCCTAGTTCTGCCCAACTCATGTCTGATGACTCTTACAGAACGTCGAAGCTCTTGAGTCAGCACTCCACAGAATACCGCGATGATGAGTTGTCAGAACTAAGAGGGGAGTCTTACAGGTTTGCTGAGAAAATGCTTCTCTCAGAAAAGATAGATGCGTCTCACTCTGACACTGAGGAGTCGGTTACAGACCGTGCTGTACCCGTTAGTGTGGGTTTACAGGGGTCTGATAAGCGATCCAGAGACAAAGTAGCCCCTGCCCCTAAGAGAGAGATTCTCTCCAAAATCTACAAAGATGTTTCTGAAAATGGTCTAGGTAAAATATCCAAAGATGAGCATTTTGATAAAGTGACAGTGTTGCACTACTCTGGAGATGTTAGTAGCCCAAAACATGCCATGTGGATGCGATTTACTGAGGACAGATTAGACAGAGGTAGAGAAAAGTTGCTATATGAAGACAGGGTGGACAGGACCGTTAAGGAGGCAGAAGAGAAACTGACAGAAGTGTCCCAGTTTTTTCGTGACAAAACAGAAAAGTTGAATGATGAGCTGCAGTCTCCTGAGAAAAAGGCCCGGCCCCAGAATGTCAAGGATGCCCCTTCTTCCCAAAGCTCAGCCAGCAGCAGCCCTGAGAAGTTACCGCTGACTGAGTCGTTGACGTCCAGTGATGACTGGACTAAAGTGAGGCAGCCTGGACGTGATGGGAAAGGCATGCCTAAGGCTGAGGAGGAAAAAACTGCCAGTCTGCCCAGCAGTCCCGAGCGGAAGCTCCTGTCCAAGCAGACTGAGGACAGCACACTGCCAGGGGAACCCAGAGGAGGTGTTCCACAGAGCAAAGCTTCTGAAGCTGGCTTCCAGCTCAAACAGTCCAAACTCAGTTCCATCCGGTTGAAATTTGAACAGAGCACCCATCCAAAAAGTAAAGACATATCTCAAGAAGAAAAAAAGCTGGATGGCCCATCCAAAATTCCAATTAAAAAAATGCAGGAAAGCAAGCTACCCGTTCACCAAGTGTATGGTAGAGAAAGGCCGCAGAAGGCAGTGGGTCCTGCAGATGGGTGCGCATCTTTGCAAAGGGAACTACCGGTAATGAAAGGAGACCAGACCCAGAACGGTGAAGTGGTTGTAGATGATGCTGGTTCTGCCGATGTTGAGAAACCAAGAACTGAAATGTCAAGTAAATCAGTACCTGCACATTATTCTGAGCAGCAGTCCAAAGACTTGGCATATAGCATGAGCTCAGACTTGGCAACTAAGGGTCCATGGGACAAAAAGATTTTTAGGACATGGGAAAGTCCAGGGGCTACTAACCATAAGGCACAGAAAGAAAAACTCTCACACGTACTTGTTCACGATGTGAAAGAAAATCATGTTGACCACCCAGAGAATCAGGGTCTTGAGCCAAAGAGTGAGTTGATCTCTGTGTCAGAGAGAGAACACCAGTTGTTAACAAATGGAGCTCACTCCGAAATTAAGGAAGTGACTGTAAAATCTCCATCCAAAAAGGTTTTATATAGGGAGTTTGTGGTTAAAGAAGGGGCACGCACCACCGACGCTGGTGACCAGACACCCCAGAAAAGCGAAGGCACAGCCGTGTCACACATCCCAGTCCGAATTGCCGAGGAGGGGAAAATGTTATCATCCTCTGCCATTCCCGACGGTTTCTGTGACCAGTCCAAATTTCCCCAATATGAACTGTCCCCCAAATTGCCCCAGTCCAGTTTGAGTAAAGAGACATTTGAGAGCCATCAGCTCAATTCTGTAGAAGAGGAAAAGGTCACCTATTCGGAGATCAGCAAAATCTCCAAGCATCATAGTTATGTAGGGTTGTGTCCTCCCCTGGAGGAAACTGAGACCTCGCCTACCAAATCTCCTGATTCCTTAGAATTTAGTCCAGGCAAGGAGTCTCCCTCCAGTGATTTATTTGACCACAGTCCTATGGATGGATTGGAAAAGGCCGCACCATTAGCAGAGACAGAGGGAGGGAAGGAGATAAAGACTTTGCCCGTTTATGTTAGTTTTGTCCAAGTAGGAAAACAATATGAAAAGGAAATACAACAAGGAAGTGTAAAGAGAATAGTAAGTCAGGAATGTAAGACAGTTCAAGAGACCAGGGGGGCATTCTTTACCACCAGACAGCAGAAACAGCCCCCCTCTCCCCAGGGGAGCCCAGAAGATGACACTCTAGAGCAAGTGTCCTTCTTAGACAGTTCTGGGAAGAGCCCTTTAACCCCAGAAACACCCAGCTCAGAGGAAGTGAGTTATGAATTTACTTCTAAGACACCTGACTCACTCATAGCTTATATACCAGGCAAACCCAGCCCAATCCCTGAGGTTTCTGAGGAGTCAGAGGAGGAGGAGCAGGTTAAGTCTACTTCCCTAAAACAAATGGCAGCCATTGACCTGGAAACGTCCAACGCTCTGAACAAAGACTCTCCCAAAAGGTCCAAAGGTAACAGAGTTGCCTATATCGAGTTTCCGCCTCCCCCTCCATTGGATGCAGACCAGGCAGAGCCAGATAAGAAGTCCTCTTATTCCCCCGAGAGGGAGGTAGAAATGATGGAAGTCAGTCTACAGGACGAGCATGACAAATACCAGCTGGCCGAGCCCGTCATCCGAGTGCAGCCCCCTTCTCCCATTCCTCCCGGGGCAGATGTCAGTGACTCTAGTGATGATGAATCCATCTACCAACCAGTCCCGATCAAAAAGTACACTTTCAAACTAAAGGATGTGGAAGATGATCAAAAAGAGGGTTCCAAATCCAAAAGTTCTGAAAAGACACCCACCCTGAGAGAGTCAGGAAGTAATGGCCCTAGAAAGGAAAACGAACTTGACATCGGCCTTGACTCACCACAGAATGAAGTAGTACAGAACGGGAATAATGACCAGTCCATCACTGAGTGTTCCATCGCCACCACGGCAGAATTCTCTCATGACACAGACGCAACCGAAATTGATTCTCTTGATGGCTATGATCTTCAAGACGAAGATGACGGCCTCACGGAGAGTGATTCTAAGCTCCCAAGTCAGGCCATTGACATCAAAAAAGATGTGTGGAATACCGAGGGTATTTTAAAGCCAGCTGACCGTTCTTTTAGTCAAAGTAAGCTTGAAGTGATTGAGGAGGAGGAGGGGAAGGTAGGGTTTGAGGAAGAAAAGCTGCTCTCCAAAGGCTCAGCATCAGAAAAGACTCCTGATAAAACCGAGCAGAAGTCAGGGACCCAGTTTTTCACATTGGAAGGCAGACATCCCGATAGATCTGTGTTTCCAGATACCTATTTCAGCTACAAGGTAGATGAAGAATTTGCGACCCCTTTCAAGACAGTAGCCACCAAAAGTCTAGATTTTGATCCTTGGTCTAATAACCGAGGTGATGATGAAGTGTTTGAGACAAAATCAAGGGAAGATGAATCAAAACCATTTGGTCTGGTGGTAGAAGACCGTTCTCAAGCCACGACCCCAGATACCACCCCAGCCAGAACGCCAACTGATGAAAGTACCCCAACTAGTGAACCCAACCCCTTCCCATTTCACGAAGGAAAGATGTTTGAGATGACTCGCAGTGGCGCAATTGACATGAGCAAGAGGGATTTTGTTGAAGAGAGGCTCCAATTTTTCCAGATTGGTGAGCATACTTCTGAAGGGAAGTCAGGGGACAAGGGGGAAGGGGATAAAACCATGGGCACTGCCATCACACAGCCACAGTCAGGGGACACTACAGTAGAAACAGACCTAGAGAGAAAAGTAGAGGCCACCGCAGTTGAACACAAACCCACCATTCAGCCCAGTGGAGAGTGTCAGGAGGCAGCACTCAGTAGTAGCCCACCGGAGAAGCCACCGGCGGTGGCCAACGCTTCCAAAGTGGACCCCAAGCTGCGCACGCCAATCAAAATGGGGATTTCCGCTTCCACCATGACCATGAAGAAAGATGGCTCCGGAGAAGGGACAGAGAAAGTAGAAGCTATGCTTTCCAGTGGTCAGGGCTTAGAAAATGAAACCGTAACAGTGATTCCAAGTGCAGCAAATAGCCAGAGAGACTATAGGCCAAAAGAAAAGCATGATTTTCAAAAAGATAATTTTAATAACAACAACAATTTGGATTCATCCACTATGCAGACAGATAATATTGCCAGTAACGTAGTGCTCCCAGACCATTCCATAGCCACTTGTACCACTGAGAAAGCTAACCCACTCAAAGGCTCTTCAGGGGCGCTTCAAGGACACTGTCTAAAAGAGACACAGGAAGTAACTGAAGAACAGAAAAAGAAAAAAGAATCAGTAGGGCTTAGGCCAAAATCCAAACTGCCCATAAAAGCCACCTCCTCCAAAGATGCCTTCCCGCCAAAACCCATCCCCAACAAGGCAGTGGGTAAAATGAGGCAAGTTAGCAAGCCCGAGAGAGCCAGAACCCTTAATTCGTCTCCATGTCTAGAAGTTAGGTCCAGGATTCCAATAAAAAACCCACCCAGAGAGAACCTAGCGTTAGTCAGAGAAACAGGCACCAAGCCAAAACCGGGCCAGCTAGAAAGAGGCAAGATCAAGCAGCTTCCTTCCAAATTACCAGTAAAGGTAAGATCTGCCTGTGTGGCCACGACCACAGTGAAAGTCAGGAAAACCCAGCTCAGGGAAGTATGTAAACATTCGATTGAATATTTTAAGGGAATTAGTGGTGAGACGTTAAAGCTCGTGGACCGCCTGTCTGAGGAAGACAAAAAGACGCAGCCCGAGGGGTCCGATGACGAAGACAGTACGTCCAGAAATACATCCTCCTCAGAAGTGCCTCGGGTTTGCCCACCTCCCATTACACGGAAGTCCGCTAGAGATAAGAGAAAGGAGGCAGCGTCCTTAAAATCAAAGAATGGAAAAGCCGGCAGTGAGAGAAGGACTGGTGAGGATGAAGGGAGGCAGGTTTCTGGAGCGCTTTTGGCTCTCGTCCTGGAGATCCAGCCTAGTCTGTAAAACTTTCCCACTTGTTGATGCTAGTGCATGACCTGTCGTGATTGCCTGTGGAGTGAATTAACTGTAGTGTTCATTGTCCTTGTCATCTGTCTGTGCTGTCCTAGAGAATCTTCTTTCTTCCTTTTTCTGAACGAACGCTGCACCGTAGACAGCTAGGGAAGCATGCTGAAACCCATTGGTGTCATTCAACGCTTTACGTTGGGCTCTAACGAACACGACTCTCTGTTGGAGGAGAGGAACGACCGAGGGTTGAACTGCCCGCGTTAGTGTCTTCACCAATATGAGGTCTAGAATTGTCATAACCGTTTGTAGCAAACTCATGAGCATGTTTAACTCCATTATCCAACATCCATTTAGTCGGACACTTGGCCTTACGCAGGTGGAAACATAACAAACTATGTCAAAAAAAATTATAAAAATTTAAAAAGAATTTGTGTAGGTAATTAGGATACATTTGAGTTTCAGCAATAGCCCCTCTGTAAAACCCAAGTACTTCTGAAGCACAATTTTCCAACATGATGTCTTTCTCTATGAGTATATTAACTAAGAAATTGTACATCGCAGGTCCACAAAGTCCATGTGAACGGACAGACATCAGGATGGCTATTGTAGCTGATCATCTGGGGCTCAGCTGGACAGGTGAGTGCTCGCCCACCTATGCAGAAAGAATGGCAAACCTTCCTCTCCTGCTCCCTACAAATCAGAGCAGGTGGGAAGCAATGCAGAGCGTTATTCTAAGTGCTACCAAATTCTCTGTATGCTATCATACTTTCTTTTTTTTTTTTTGTCTGATACCAGGGAAACGATAGCAAATTATTTTTAGGAATTGGTGATCAAGAAATTTTAATTAGGTGAACCTCCTCTTAATTCTGTTGGTGTGTAGTGAGCTAGCTCTCTCACTCCTCTGTGCCAAAAAGGGAAGAAACCTGGATAATGCAAAACAGCTGCCAGTCATGCAGAAATGTGCAAAAGAATATATATGTATTTGGCTTATGGAACACAGTCCAAGATGCGTACGCGTACATAGAGCTGCCCCTTATGGAACACTATAGAGCATCTTAAGGCTCAACAAGCCCTCATGTTGTCTCATTTGGTCCTCGTAACAGCTCTGTGAGGTAGGTGCTAATATTTTCCTCATTTTATGGATGAGGGAACTGAGAATGAGAAAGATTGAGAGACTTGTCCCAGCTCACCCAGCTGATAAAGTGTTGGAAGTTAGGAAGACTTGAGTACAAATCCCGCCTCAGACATTTACAAGCTGTGTGCCAATGAACAAGTAACCTCTCTGAGTCTCAGTTTCCTCATCTGTAACATGGGGATATTAGTAGCATCTATCTCACAGAATTGTTTTGAAGATCAAATTATAATACGTGAAATCCCCAAAGTCTCAGTAGGACTAAGATTTTTGGGACACACTATATATGTAAAGTATACCAGGTGAAGTAAGTACCAGGTAAATATGAAATATGGTTATTGTTAAATAGTTAATGCAATGCAAAAAATTTTAGTGCCAATAGTGCTCATGATTGCGTGTACCCAGGAAAGTAATAGAATTTTGTATTGGGGGGGAAAGGAGGAGCCTCTTCTCGTAAGATCCATGGTAGCAAAGCCCTCATCTTAGCTAAACATTGTGTCTCCCCCAGCACCTTCCATGTTGTTCTGCCCTCAGTAGGTATATAGCAAATTCTATTAGATGAATAAATGAATCAGTGAGAGCGAAGCAAATGGCCTCCTGTTTTATGTAAAAATCCTAGATTATATTAGCATTTTTGATGTAGCTACTTTTCAGGTTTTGCTTAGTGATGATTACAGTTATATCCTGCAGGTGAGGACATAATTGCTTTGCTACCAAACTAAGGGGCTTAGGTTTAAACCCCAGGAGGGGAATTCAGTATTGCCAGACATTGCTGATATACGTCAGTTCTCTTATTTTCATTGTTGGTGCCTCTTAACAAACATTTGCAGAAGCATGTGATGAAGCCACGATGGGTGGTCTTCAAAGTCCTTTTGTTTTTCCTTTTGTTTTACAGAACTGGCGAGAGAGCTGAACTTTTCCGTGGATGAAATCAACCAAATCCGTGTAGAAAATCCAAACTCTTTAATTGCTCAGAGCTTCATGTTATTAAAAAAATGGGTTACCCGAGATGGAAAAAATGCGACAAGTATGATGAGATATATTATTTTACCTTTGACAACTCTCTTCCACTTAGTTTATGGGAAAATCATCCAAGCCAGTGGATAATCCTTTGGTCTGACATATTGAGACGTATTTGTGGAAGCTCGGTTCTAAGTTCCTAGTTCGACTTTTAGAGAGGCTTAAAGAGTGCGTGTGTGTGTGTGTGTGTGTGTGTGTGTGTGTGTGTGTGTGTATGTGATCACTTGAGACTTTTTATATCATGATTGTAACTTTATCCATGTCTGCTGAAGTTGAAAAATGGTGGCAGTTGCTGGATAACCAAGCAGTTGACAAAAACTCTGAGCCATTATTTAATAAGTTCTGGGTGGGCAAGGAGGGGAAGGATAGGGAGACAAAGAAGAATTCGCAATAGAAGACAGACATCACCTTGTTCACCGTGAGGCCAGGTATTTCTTGTGCTGCCATCCCACTATCTCCTCCATTCTTTTGGCTGTGCAGACAGCCAAATCAAAACAATGAGTTGTGAGTAATTTCCCTCGCATTTGCCTGGGTCAGTACAGTACTATAAGCAAGTACTGTAATTAAATTGTTACATATCAAACGTGAGACTAATTTTTTTTGGTATCTTGCCATCTTAAAAAGCAAAACTCGATTTAATATTTGATTAAATGACTTGTAACCAAAGAGAAGGAAGAATGGTTGGAAGTCTTGGCACTTTGTACCTGATCTCTAGGCTATCTATGCCATTCTTATCAAGTGCAGCTTACAGAGTACTCATCAGACCGTTGACCGTGTCCCTCCTCCCCTGGCCAGAGCTCTGAACCCTGTCATTGACAGCCTCTGTGATAGCAACTCAGACCTTGGGGGAGGCCACCTGAGAAGATATGAAGTAAACCTGATAAATGGGGGGGGGGAATGATGGCATTCAGGTTGTCCCCAGTCATCTTTTCATCCTTTTTTTTCCTCCTTTTCAGCTGATGCCTTAACTTCTGTCTTGACAAAAATTAACCGAATAGATATAGTGACCTTGCTGGAAGGACCAATATTTGATTATGGAAATATTTCTGGCACCAGGAGCTTTGCAGAAGAGAATAATGTTTTTCATGATCCTGTTGATGGTAATTGAATCTAATGTTTATTTAATCATTTAATTAATTTGAAAACTTGATAAGCCAAGAATAGTCCAAAAGAAACTGAGTTATGATTCTTTTGGTTGTTAATTTCTCATCTTCAGAGCATTTTTCCTGCTAGAATCACAACTGTAGGATGTTTGTTTGCATTGAAATATTGGGTTAAAACCTCAAAGAATGTTTATTTTTATGGAGCATGAAATATGAAAACCAAAGTATCTAACGTGTTACTTGATTTTTCAGAATATCTTGATTCTTAGGCTATAACCAAAGGCTGAGCTTCCAAAATAAGAAAATTCCATTAATGGTGGAGTAGCTAGTTTCCTGAAGATGCTTCACTTTGGCCATTTTAATTTGTTTTTTAAAAAAGTAATGAAAAAGTGCTATGTTAGTTCAGTTCTTGCTACATGAGCAATAAACTGGGTCAAAATGAAATAATTGCATAAACTCTTAACAGTAATAGTATGATTTCCTGGTACTAAGTAATATAGAGTGATATGAAAAACCACTTAGCACGGTGCTTGGCACATAGTAGACTCTTAATAAATATTGATTGATGGGTGAAAAAATGATACCATCATAACTGAATTTATTTGTATTTAAATAGTGCAGTCATTTTTATAGGCTGACTCAATACAGAGCCATTAAGACAGGCATATTCCTTTAATCATAAATTAAAGCAACAACATTTTCAATATGGTGGGCAAATTAGAAATTATTAATAATTTTCTCTGGATAGGCTACAGAGTATTTTCGTTACTGTAATCATTTGCATTACCAGGATTATCATACAATCACTCAGCCTTTAGCTGTTATTTTATTTCGAAATTACTTTATTTTATTTTCTTTTCTATTTGTATTTTTATTATATTTATATTTTACATCATTTTATTTTAAAATGCCTTTCATTTCAAAATAATTATTTAGTTATTATTTTATTTAGAAATAACTCTTGGTGTTAAAATATAGAGAGTGATTCGTTAAACGTCTTGTTTTACTGAAAGTGAGATTCTCTCAGCTTCATAAATTGAAATTCCTGTCTGTGTTAAATTAGCAAAAGGAAATGTGGAGCTTTTTCTTGGTGATGAGAGTTGGAAATAGAGTTGCTTTTTTTATCTGTGCCCAAAGTTTGAAAATGTATTTAATATATTTATATATACATATAATTATATTTAAATATATTTTAAATAAATATAAAAGCCTTTATTGAGAAAGAAGGAGAAAAGTGGATCAATGTCAATAATCTCTTTCCCCGATTTCAGATAGGCCGAGTGTGACTAACGAAATTCACTATCTCATGTTTTCTCTGTATGTTATGTGCTAAGGGATAACACACTCAAATTATTAGATGATATTCACTGTTTTCTAAAGGCAAAGGTGGATGTCAGATGTGAATCATGCGTTCGTCTCAGCATAATATCCATATGAGCAGTAATAATGGCAAGAATGGTTAATTTTCAAACTTAGAGTGAAGCCTCCCAACAATTCTGGCTTCAAGGGTCATATTCCATGAGGAAAACCCAAATGTGATATTAATTGAACCCCTTTGGATTGACCCAAGATGGACTTGTTCCATCAAATTTTCTATTAGAGCAATGTATAGTATTCCACGTTCTTGATTAGGAACTGAATGTTATAAGGCCTCTTATAACATTTTCACAATATCGTCAATCTGATTTCTTTAAAAAAAATTATTCACTCAGGTAAATTGGTGCCATCATATCTTTCTGGTCATTTCTGATGTCAGAGTCCTCAAGCATAATAAATAACTTTAGGTTAAGTTCAGGGAGTTTGGTTGCAACATATTTAATTATTCTTTTACAATTTACATTTTTTTTAACAATGTGGGTTTTCCTGAATCGTTTTTGTATAACTATCAGATAAATTTTGAAATGTATATACTTAGAAAAAAACAAACCATCAGTTACACCAAATGCTCACCACAAGCAGTAGCATTGTTTACATGGCAAAACGACTTAGATTTGGAATCATTTCCTGGGATTGTGCTTGCCTCCTTGGGCCAAATTTTCAGCCAGGCTTTAGTCTGAAAACAACCTTGTTCATAATCATCCCATGCATGTCTAGAGAGTTAATTGAATTTCTAGGAAGATACCAAATCAGTATTTGCGTCTGAGGCTGACTGAAAATTTAGCCCTTTGTCTCTGTGGGATGCTAATGGAAGAAATCAATGTGTTCTGTCTCCAGTTTGTTCTGTCTCTCCTCTGAAACCTCCCAGAGCTTCCTTTCCTCACCAAGACCAGACGGTTTTTGACCTTTCTCTGAGCTAAGGCAGAAAAAAAAGGCAATGTAGTCTTTCTAAAAGAGAAAACGATTTCTCCCTTTTGGGGCAAGTTGGTCAGATGTTCAGGGTCCAAACACTCCTTGGGTTTCCTAATGCTCATTGTGTGTGCTCAGACTAATCCTTGGCGAGTCAGTGCTCCCACGTTTTCATTGTTCATCTGTTTTTTTCTCTCTTTTGTTTGATCAGTGGTTCTGATTGTTCCCATGTCACCGAAATCACCTCAGTCGCCCAGATCTCCAGGAACTCCCTACTCACTCCAGTCCTCTCCTCCGTATAACTTTTCTGGGGCTGAAGTTTTCATGTAGAACCTTTCCAGTAGTTTCTGCTTTTCAATCCTTCTCCCATACTTTTCCCCTGTAGAGCTCCCTCTGCTTTTGCTTAGGAGTCCTGTAACCTTCACTGCTGGTGGTCCCAGCACCTAGGACAGTGCCAGACTTTTAGTGGGCACTTCAGTACATTCATTGGCTACCTTTAAATCATGTTATCTGTGCTGACTCTGACATTCATGTGAAGTAACTACTTTTTGAAAGAGGTAGAGTCCAGTGACATAGCCATGGTGTGGGATTTTTAAAACAGGATAACCAAGAAGCAGAAATACTTATTTGTAAAAATTGGTTGTCTTAAAATCTGCGCTATTCATTGCTCTTGCAAGGGAAAATTTGCATACCCCTAATAGAAAAAAAAATTGGGCCCCCAGAGTGTGGTGCTTATTAACAAGTTATCAGAAATTGACCACAATTACTCTTTCACTTACTGCCTCTGTGACCTTGGATAAGTCACTTCCTCTGGGCCTCAGTTTCCTCACTTGTAAAAGGAGGGATTTTGACTAACCAACCTCTAAAATCCCATCCAACTCAAAGTGTATGATCCAATGACTTTTTACTTAATTAATAGCATTTTTAATATATATTTTGCACTGGGTTCGGTTGGGGGTTTTTGTTGTTGTTCCATTAAATTCAACTAAGTTAGTGATTTTACTAACACCATTTTATCGACTCATCACGCATTTTCATACTTGATATAATTTGAGTCATTTTACGTCTGTTTTTGTTGTATCATGATTCATTCTGGTTCGTCCAAATGTACTGTCTTCCATAGGTTATCCTTCCCTTCAAGTGGAACTGGAAACCCCCAGTGGGTTGTACTACCTTCCACCCACCCCTTTCCAGCAAGATGATTATTTTAGTGATCTCTCTAGCGTAGAGTCACCCCTTAGAACTCCCAGTAGACTGAGTGACGGGCTAGTAACTTCCCAGGGAAATGTAGATGGCGCGGCAGAAGGACCTCCAGTTGTAACTGCAGAAGACACTTCATTAGAAGACAGCAGGCTGGACTTCTCGGCGCCTCGCCAAGGTGTTCCTGGAGGTGTGGATGTAGAGGGGAGCCAGCTGGAGGATGTTTGTCTGAGCGAGTATCCTCACCACCTCGGAAGCTTGGCTGGGGTCCACAAAGATGTTGAGCTCTCAAAGGAAATAGAAAAGACTAGCAAAGTAGAAATGAGGCTTAAGCAGCAAGAGAGAGGAAACTCTGGTCCTGAGGAGGAGATGACGGAAGAAAAACTGAAGTCTCTATTTGAGGACATTCAGCTGGAAGAAGGAATGGAGTCTGAGGAGATGACAGAAGAAAAGGTTCGGGCTCTGCTCAGAGGGGTAGAGCAAGTCGAACGGGAAATGTATTCAATTACAGGTTGGCAGAATGAGGCCTCCACGGGCAGCCCCGAGCCACCAATGCCGGGTCGCAGGATAGCTGGTGGGTTACTGGATCGACTGGATAACAGGTATGAATGTGCCCACGAGGGATGGGGAACGAGGCTTGGAACACTTAGAATAAGAGAAGTGATAAAAGTCGTTAGCTTTTCTTCCTAATGCAAAGCCCCCTTGGAGGCTCATTCCTGAACCTCATAAAGTTTCCAGACCCTAAAAGGCTCAGGAAGTTTGTTCCTCATGCTAAACGAGAGAAAGAAAATCTCCAAGTGAGAATTATGTTGGTACTTTTGCAGGATGCTGCAAAGGAATATGTGTGTGTGTGTGTGTGTGTGTGTGTGTGTGTGTGTGTGTGTGTGTTAACCTAGACTTTTCCCCTGGTTCTACAAAACCAGTGAAGTTTCCAGTACACAGACAGTGGTAGCTCTTGGGCCACACGTGCCTGGGAGGCGTCAAAGACAAAATCAGGATAGAATAGTTTCTTGTGGTGTTTTAAGTCCACGGTTTTGTGTACCTTTAGAGAAGAGTGCATAGTTGGATGAGAAACATGAAGAAAACTCAGGTAGTGACTTCAGGCCCTGCCAAACCCAGGAGCTGAGGAACAGTGACAGCCAGTGTGTTATTAGACAAAGAATACTGAGTTTGGAGTCAAATGACCTGGGTTCAAATCCCACACTCTTCTGTATGACCTTGGACAAGTCACATAACTCCTCCAGGTCTCAGATTTTTCATTTATAAATGGAAGGAGTTGTACCAGATGACCTCTGAGGTCTCTTTAAACTCTATCCATGGTCCTATGAATATGGCTTACATTTCCTTTTCACCCAGAGGCCCCAAATAATGCCACCCGCTCAGTTTACAGGGAGGGTGGAGGCTGAGGAGAAAACCGCTTATTCCAGCCCTCCCTCCCATCCATTCTATCCCAACTATTGATGGCATGTCAAGGATGACATGTCAAGCCCTGGATTAATCACTTATGCTTTGATTAGTGTCCCCAAAGCACTTTCTTCTTTATACTTTTTTTTTTTTAAGAAAATGAACATTAGGGGGCAGCTAGGTGGCGCAATGGATAGAACACCGGCCTTGAAGTCAGGAGGACCTGAGTTCAAATCTGGCCTCAGACCAAACACTTGACACTTAACTAGCTGTGTGACCCTGGGCAAGTCACTTAACCCCAATTGCCTAAAAAAAAAAAAAAATGAACATTACAGATAGAAGGTCCCGACCACGTAAGTCCCACGTACTTATGTTCTTCTAATAACTTCACATGTTGGTTTTTATCCTTTCAAGAAAGGTACTCTTCCTGACGGTTGGTAGCTTTTGAAACCTAAAAGAGCATCAGCATTTAAAATAGCAACTGCTGACCAGCTGATGCTCATGAGACTACTTCTATTTCAAATACTTGATCAACTTTTTTTTTTCCCTTAAAAATGAACAGTGAGAAATTATGGTGTCATAGAGAGATGTTGGTTGCAAACAGAGCTCTAACCTATTAAACTTGGCAAGCTAAGGGCAGAATGAGGTACAGCTTGACATTCGTAGAAGGTCAGTTACATCAGCAATTCTGTGCCTCCATCAGCCCAAGGTCTCATCTACTGCAACTTCTCTCCAGGGCAAGGACACAAAGGTGTCACTTATCTAAATATTTTGGTTTTTTTTTAAGCAATTCAGATCAACATCTGTGTCACTCTGTGCAGAGCATTAGCTCAGCACCAGAATTTGTATAGCCGAATGAGCGTTCTCCTTCCAAGTAATCACCCTGGGAGGGCATGCACTTATTGCAATGAGTTGTCCATTGGAGCCATCTTTGTGAGCATCTGGAGCTAGTGAGACAGTCTCCTTCAATGCTTTATCATCTTTCCTCACTTTTTAACAAAATGGGCACGATTTCCCCAGCTGGAGGGCCCTGCTTAGGACCCGGAGATGGTGGTCCAAACACGATGAGATGTGCTGGTCATTTCCAAGTTGAAGGGACGTCAGGGAGATCCTTCATTGACCACTGGGATCCCGACTTCACAAGCTTAACTCTCAAATGTCAGAAACACCTTTTTATTGGGTTTTTCAAAGTATTTTTTAAGAGAGTAAAAATGTGATTTGTAGCAAGTTAGAATTCATGATGACCAAGGTCTCCTTTGTCACATAACACCCTGGCGGTTTGTAACGTCCCTCTTTTTTCATCTCTTCCAGCTCTGACCAATGTAGGGATTCTATTACCTCGTATCTCAAAGGAGAGACTGGCAAATTCGAAGCCAACGGCAGTCACCCCGAGGCCTTTCCCGAAACCACGGCGAAGTCTCACGTCCAAGAATCACAGAACGACGTCGGCAAGCCGAGGGACAAGGAGCCTCAGAAACCAAAAACCCCAGGTTCTGGCCGCAGCGACGGGCCAGCAGCCTACCAGAAATCTGTGGAAGACACTAGCAAGCAGTTAGCAGATGAGATCAAAACCGCCGTGCCTGTCAGTGTGAAAAAGATGAATAGGACTTCTCCCGGGGATGCAAAGCCACGGCTAAACCTCCATGAGGAAGAGGGAGCTGTGGTGCCTGAGCACAAGGTACAAGGTCCAGTTCCCTAGTGCTCACTAATTAAAGGTTAACTTCTCTATTCTGCTCTCTTGAGGAGGGCTGTGCCCTCCTAGCTTGACTTCCTTGTGGCCCGAGGAGTTCGATATCTATGTTAAAAGCCCATGGGGTCAGAATCTTGAATTATATGATAATGGCTTCTTCTTGGCAAAGAAATGAGCCAAGAGAGAGCTCAATGAATCATCCTCTTCCCTTGGAGAGACCAAGTATGAGTGACCTACCCAATGTTGTGTTGATTGGCAAATCCAAATCTAGGATCCAGATCTCCTGATTCCTAACCTGAGCTTCCTTCTGCCCATCTTATCAAGAGATGGCTGGCCCTTTCATTGAGCCTGCCATTGCTTCAATTTAATAATATAATATAATTATTTTCATTAATTAAATACAGAGGCAGCATGGGATGACAGAAAAAGCAGTGCACTAGAAGGCAGGAGGTCCAGGTTTACACCCCTGCCTTGACATTGCCTTCCTTGAGTGAGCTGCTCTGAGCCTCAGTTGCCTTATCTGTAAAAATGGGGGTAATAAGAGTTGTGTGGCCTACCTCATTGTAAGTAAGGGAGGTGCTTTGTAAACCTTAAAGTCTTGTAGAAATATGAGCCGTTCATATAAACACGCAATAGTAACCAACCAGATCTGGTAGCTTCCCCCATAAGGCCCTGTGGTCATACAATGGCTGTTCTTTAACCACGAAGGCATTTAGAAGCAGGAAAATATTTCTGCAATCTAAAACGAAATAGGAATTATTCACCATTGTGAAGCGACGATACGGAATTAGTACAATTCCTGGCTTTTTGTGGCCTTGTTTAAAAACTTTCTGCACTTGTTTTTAAAGGTCTGATTTATGAAAAATGGAAGGAAATTTGGGAATTTAAAAGTTTATTTTTGAAAGATCATTTTCTGAATTGTTGTAAGCATACGTCTTTCCTTGGTGTAGTTATTTGCTCAAGTCAGTATCTATGAGAAGGTTTCTTGGGGTATCTGTCTCTGTGCCCTTCCAAGTACATATTCGTATTCTTTGGCATTCGTAAAACGGAAGTGATAGAAAGTTCATAGAATCTGGGAATCGTGCTGGCTCCCTCCAATCTCTGTACGTACTTCCTTGATTCATATATTGGACACTTGGCTAAGCCCTCACACCTCCCAGGCATCATAATCTAGCCTGGAACCTTCAAAGAGAAGAGTGAAAGCTCTCTGATCCGTCTGACATTTTGATCATTTTCTTTTGGTCTCTCCATTGGGAGAGAGGATTTTCTTAAAAGATTTCTTTAAGGTTAACTTACCTACTTCATAAATTAATGATATCCTTTTATTTTCTTCCTTTTGATGACTACAACCCACCTTTTTGCCATTTTTTTATTTTAGCAGAAGAAATAAAAGGAGATTAATTCATTTAATGAGCACTGGCTAAGCACCTACTATGTGCCAGGCACTAGGCTAGGTGCCAAGAATACAAGACCATAATTAAGTAGTTTTTGCCTTCATGGGAGCTTACTTTCTGTTCAAAACTCATTTTTACCATGAGTCAGTGAGATGCCTATACTATAAAGATTGCCGAGATCTGTGATTTTATTTGGGAATGTTAGTGGAATAATAGTATGGATGATTGATAGGCTGATGCATTTTCTGACCCTTCTTTTTATGGTGGCTCTTTAGAGACAGGACATTTCTAGGCATCAGTTCCCTTTTATTTTAGTTTTGACCAGTATAGCAACTTGAAGGGCAGTGTGGTGTAACGGATAGAGATTTTTGGAAGCTATGACTGATTGCTCATTGAGTTTAGATAGTAGATACTATAGTTCATTCACATACGGCCTTTAGAAGATTCCCAAGAGTTTGGAAGTGAGGTTCTCATCCACAGGTGGAATCAAGTGATCAGGCATCTCAAGCAATAGAAAATGATGACCATTTGAAAGATTCACTTAAACGAGTTTTCATCCTCATTATGAGAAGGAGCCCTAGCCAGTTATTTTCAGTCATAATTAGTAAGGCATTGAAAAGCAAGGTGAAGGTAAACTGCTTTCTCATTCATGTGGAGTTGAGACCCACATCCTTTCTACCCCAAATAATGTGAGCCTAAGCTAAAAATATATCAAAAGGGTCCCTGCTGTACCCTTTGTGGCTACAGCAAGTATTAATCAACAAGGTTGTCAACTGTATCATCTCAGAAAACAGCCACCCTTTTTGTCCCCCCCAAAATCAGGTTAGAAGTCCAGGTGTGGCTCTTACATGGATCGCTGCTTGCTGTTACCAGGTAAATAAGCACCGCTTCTCACCCCAATCCCCGCAGCTGCTCATGGCAGAGACCAGTGGGGAAGTCCTCACCCACCACCTTCCGCCTCACTTAGTGAGAAGCGTTCTCTCCGCTGTGCTCCACGGGACAGGCAGGGAGCAGAATGGAGACTCTCTCCCACGCCACCACCGTGGCCTTGGCCACCCTGGGAGAGCTCACTCTGAGACCCTTTTGTGGGACTACAAGACCATCCTTGCCTTGATTTTGTAATGGAAGCTGGTCGTATTTTTCACTTTTTGTCACAGTTTCCAAGTGGTGACCTTTATGTCTTAGAAAAAAAAATGGTTTTGACTAATTTAGCATATGGCTTTTCTGAATGTTCCCCTTTGCTTCCTCCTCCTCCCCATTAATGCCATTGTCTTAGACGGTAACTTTCCTTGGGAAAGATCAGTTCTGTACCCACTGGCATGTTATAAGGAAAGGACTTTCTAATCCTTTTAGCACTGTGGAAAGAGCAGCTATTATTGTTGTTGTTGTTGAATCTCAAAACCATGTCTTGATTTAAGTAGCCCCTTCAGAATGCCCCAAGTTAATGTTTTAGTATTTCTGGTAATTAAGGCGCAGCAGGAATGCTAAATTATCCACATGCAGTAAATTCCTTAAACATTGAATTCCTCCCAGGGGAGAATTAAGTGGAAGATGAATTTTCCTGCAAGGCCAGGGAAGATGTCACCAAGACCTCTACACAGCTAATCAGCTCTTTCTTCCTTGAGGAAGCCTGGAGCTATGCTATCATCTGCTTTCGAATAACTTTTGCCAATTCAAAATAATTGATACTGGCTAATCCTGTACTATTCTGGTATTTTTTTTTTCTTCTGATTTCTCTCTCTGCCTGCTGGCATTTTAATTTTCTGTTCCTGTGGACTTTGCTACAACTACCGTCTACTGGGCCATTATGTTTTAGGGGTAAATAAGTATACTTAGAAAATCAAGTATTATTTCCAGAGCCCTTCCACTGAAAATCAGAAATGGAATCATCTCAGTGAATGCCATTGTCCACTCTATCAAATTCATGAGTGAGTGTGTTTTTTCTTCACGAGGCAATGACTCTCACGCACTAGGCACTTCATAATTATTTGTTGAAATTTAATGCATCTTCTCAATTTTGTTCTTTTTAAATTTATCTTAAGTACCTAAGGCAGTGCTGTTTTAAGGAATCCCGATATATCCAGATTTTAGTTTTGCTAAAATACTCTATTTTCTGAAGTATATACAGACATACACATATGTGTGTATGCACCATGGTTTCATCCATATTATACTAGATTCATGAAATAACCTACTCATTTTCATTTGTAGAACTTATAAGAATGATGAATGACTAGCTAATAGACATAAATAAAAAATACCATTATAGTTATGTATAAAAATCATATTTTTAATAGAAAACTATCTCCAATCTCTAAATTTCCAGTAATATTTTCAAAAGTCCCAGCTCCTTGTCTTAGCTGTAATGAGATTGCTTTTGTCAAGAATTATGACTTTATTTATCTCTTGATGTTTGAATATATAAAAACTGGCTCAAAATTAAATTTTGTTTTGAGTTTTTGCTAGTCTGATCCAAGGAGTAGAAATCATTTCCAACATCTCAAATAGTTTTTGAAGTCTTGCAGTTTGTGACTTTGTGTGTGTGTGTGTGAAATTCCTTCTCCCAAAATTTCCCCATTCCTTCTCCTCTCTTCACTCTTTTCTTTTCTCTCTTCTGCATACTCAGAGTTACCATATTTCATTTCCCACTCCAGAAGTTTTTGCCTTCTGGGTATTTCTATTTTCCTACCAACTCAGGTATTTATCCATTCCCTATTAACTAATCCCCTAATGTGTGCAGAGCACTGTTCTATGCACAGAGCCTTCTAAACATGAAAAATTTTATTTCCTCAAACCACAAAAAAAAAATTGAGGAAAAGAGTTTCTTTCTTGATTTCCCATCTTAATGTGTCTCTTCTTTTAAATGTGCTGATGAAATTCTACCCCAAATGCATTTGTCAGGACGATAAAGAGAGCGAGAGTTATTCAAGCTCAGAGGAAGAACGGGGTGTCATTACCCGAATTACCCGCCGACGTTTGATTATAAAGGTATCCCACAGTTGGATTGGAGTGGGGGACTCTGCTGGACTTGATGGAAATTCCTTCTTAGTGGATTTTGGTATCTAGCATGTCCTGCTTTTTAAAAACGGCTAGGTTAACCATCCCAGAAAGTCTTGTACTACTAAATCAGCTGTGTCGCATGGTAGAGTGTTTCCATCTATGCCAACATTTGGCAGTAAGCGAGGATCTTCACAAGGCCTCGGAGATTGGGTTAGACGTGTTTTTTGACGGGTGCTGGATTGCATGAACAACTAATGCATCTTGGAGGGAGAGGTCACTTAATGAAATTCAATACTGATATTGCAGAATGCCTGCCCAAGGACGTGAGGAATATAAATAGGACCAGAGAATACAACTCTTTCCCTTCCTGGTCCCAGATACCTATTGCTTATACTTCTAGCTTGAGAGATGGCAGTAAGGCCTTCATTAATTACAGGCATATGGAAAAGGTCAGGAGGAGTCCTGGCATGTGACAGAATGAAAGCCAAGGAAGCTTCCCATGTGTGTGTATGCACGTATATGTGTATATGTGTGTGTGTGTGCATGTGTATATATATATACATATATATGTACATTCTTCAGAAGGCTAGCATC